CGGCAAATGTCACTCGTAAAGTTCTTGAATCTTTTAAGTGGGAGTTGTTTCCTCATCCGCCGTACAGTCCCGACCTGGCACCGAGCGACTTTCACCTATTCCCAGCAATGAAGAAGTGGCTGGCTATGCAGCGTTTTGATGACGACGCACAGCTGCAAGAAGAGGTAACGAAGTGGTTGAAGGCGCAGGCGGCCGAATTTTTCGACGAAGGAATTTCCAAGCTCGTATATCGCTACGATAAATGCCTTAATTTGTATGGTGACTACGTAGAAAAGTAGTATTTGAGTGTGGCTTTTATCTGTATATAATAAAATTTGTTTTCCTATACTTTGTTTATTTTTTTTATTCCAAAACGTAATCTACTTTCTGGATAGCCCTCGTACAAACTTTCTGCGCATGCGTAAACACACGCGCATAAGACCTTTACGCATGCGCGTTTAATGTATAACGGACGGTATAAGCTAAGCTAAAATTATCTAATTATCTATTTCAAATAATGTTGCAGATTGCGTTGTTCCTTAATCTTCTAATTGGATCCCGCTTATTAATTTTTGTAGATTGTTAGAGCAATTTTATAAAAGTAAGCTGGAACTTTTGATTATGTCAAAAAGAATTTCTGATTCTGGAGCTGCCAAAGGATCTACAAAGTGAAAGCATGTTTCGATGTCCATTAAACAAAAAGTGGAATTGCTGCAAAAAATGGATAAAGGCATGTCCTTTGTATCTCTAACCATTCCGAAATCTGTTTATCAATTTCACGCTGCTCTGTGGGGGGGGGGATGGGATGTCGCGGTGCGCAATGAATTGGAAGTTGATCTGTCAGCACTATCCTTATCCTCAGGGCAGATGTTTTTATTTTATTCGGCTTATAATTGCTTACTAAATGTAGTATTTCATCTCGATGTACTCCGTCTTTGATATGATTTAAATCAAAATCCTCGTCATTATAAATTTCACAAATACACATCAAATAGTTTTCTGGTTGCAATTTTCTAATTTCGACTATGCGTAATGTATGCTTTACGCATGCATGTGTTGAAAGAAATGTTTAATAAAGTAAACAAATAAATATTAAGCTTTTTTTTTTTTTTTTTTTTTTTTTGTAAATTTTGATACCCTTTAGATCATAATTGCTCTTTATTTCATAAATTACGGTTTCATATTTTTAATTTTATAATTTCTGCATGCCATCTTACCAGATTTAAACTGATGATCTATAATCCGGTAAAACCAATAATTCGGTCGAAGTCCCGACGAGTCCGGATTAAAGACTTTTGACTGTAGTATGTCATTTTTGTCATTTACATATAGAGGAAGAGTAGGTATGGATGCCATAGTTTAATTTTAGGTTTTGATTTTTGTAGTATATTTGCAATATTATAGTAACTTTCTCAAGAAACCATTAAATTTTCCAAAGTATGTATTGCTGATCTTGGAACCCTTGGGTAGTGCTCATATGAGAAGATAAGTTAATAGTAAGCAAACTTAAAAGAAAATTTTCAAGGTACTGAATGAGATTTTTAACTGTTCGGCAGTAAACAGTTCTTCCTGAATACGGGGAATATCTATCTGCCTTAAATTTGTATTGTGAGCTGTATTCATTTGATCCCACTGTGTAACTGGAATTCAAGGTTGAGTGTGTTGCTGACCATAAAAAAGTTTAGGTACTATTCGGTTTTGAGGACCGTAAAAAATCGCCAAACTATTGTTGATGCCAATGCTGCCAAAAATAATTGCGGCAACCCTAACGCAAGAAAGGGAAGTATAATAGTAAATAACTATTTAAGATTGATGTTTTAATTTAGATGAAAACTTACTTTCATATAGTACTTTTTTATTATTATAATTTATATCAAAAAGCTAAACATGACTGATTGGAAGCATAAAAGTAAATAACTGTTTCAGATTATTATTTTAATTTAGATAAAAGGTTGTTTCAGATTATTATTTTAATTTAGATAAAAGGTTAATTTCACATCATACAATTTATTATTATTATTATTTATATAAAAAAGGCTAAAATAACTGAGTGGAAACATAATAGTAAATACTATTTCAGATTTTTATTTTAATTTTAGATGAGACGTTAATTTCATATAATACAATTTTGTATTACTTTATGAGAAAAAAAGCTAAATATACTTGCAATTAAACGGGTGGCATAAAATTTTTTATGTCTTCTAACATAGCAGAAAAAAATTTCAGTTTTTTTTGTGCAAACGGCTGTACATAAACTCGGACAAGTAAGAATCAAAATGCTGTCGAGCAGTTCCCCGATGGCGTTTATTACGCCATTTAGCACTGCCCGACAGCCGTTCTACTGTTTGTGTATGACACCCACTTTCCGGGTCCACAAAATTGTAGTTGTGGTTGACAGTAAAGTGTTCAAAACCGGCATCTTACAGTTCATCTGACTTGTATGATTTCCAGCAGTCCGTATAAATAACGCTTCCTTCTGCAGTATTATCCTTTATGATGCTCAATAAGGTTTTCGCCGATCGATCTGGAACAGCGACTAAGAAACATTCATTTGATTTTCTGCATAATCCGCCAAAAACCCATTGTGGCGGAAGAACACGTCAAATATTGTTCTTTCTTTTACTGAAAAGGCTTTCGTCTACTTCAATAATTTTGCCACATCCGCCAATTTTAGACTTGGGCCGAGCAATTAAAGCTGAGGCACACATCTCACGCATGTAATTGTCCCAGTCTACAACTGTACTGTGGTTCATGTTGAGCTGGAGTTCACAAAATTCAACAGATGTCATTTCCTGACACCAAAAATAGATGAACCTAACGGCTGTAAGGAAGGTAATTTTCGATCCTTCAAACCAATTTTGAATTCTCAATCCTTTCTTCTCATTACAGGTTTCTTTCCTGCAGCGCCATTTTGCTACCGAGTTATCGATAAAGCACAATTTCATCTCAAGATTGTTCAAACAAATTTTCAATCATGAATGATGCCTTTTTTTTTTTTTGAAAAAAATCTATTGCAGACTTTTCTTCACTCGGCAATTCCCAAATTGTAAAATCCATAGCTTTATCAAAAAGAGAATTAAAAAATTAAACTAGTATTTCAATGGGGACTTACAAATATAGAACTATCTAAAACTTGCGCAATTTGAAATCAGCGTGTTCGCAAAATTTGGCGTGCTGTTTAATGGGCGAGTTTGATAGATTTGGCGCTTTTGCACGTGCATTTTCGCTGCAATTTTTTACAGTCCCCGAAACCGAATTGTACCGTGACCATAAAAAAGTTTATTATAAATTGCATATTAAAGATTTATAACAAAATGATAGTTTAATTTATAAATGAAGAAGAAATAATGACGTTTAGATAAGAGATCTTTCAACAGAATTAATGGAAAAGTATGAGAATTGGGCTCTACTCTTATATGCGCCCTAAGATCACCAAATGTGGCAATTCTGTGCTTGTTTTTGGCGGGATTCCATGTTGTCGGATGGTTTGGTGGACGATGCTGTTTGTATGGCAACCCTTTTGACATTGAAACTTGGTGAGACATGGTGGCAAGATTTCAGTCTCGTATTGTAGATTGTGGGCAAAGTAAATTTAGTATTAAAAGGTACGATGTTGGAGTTGTTAACGAATCTTTTGTTCACAGGTGTGTTTATGCGGAGAGAAGTGCATTTTTTAAATTTCTGTGGGAGTCAGGACTTTTAAAACGGAGTTTGGTGTGTCCGAAATGCGGAGCTGATATGAGAACTCGGATGAAGAATGGTGTTTCTGATAGACTTGTGTGGGTTTGCAATCAAATGGTTGCTTGTAAAGTATGTGACTGTCAGCGGAGTTTAAGATTTGGATTGTGGTTTTCGTGTAGTAAGTTAACTTTGGAGGAAGTTTTTATCGTTACTTTCAAAATTTTGAATCGCAAAAGGACGTGCCACGACAAAAGTACCACGATTTTGCTATAGCAAAATCGTGATACTTTTGTTGACAGACGTTGTGTGACTGGCGAAATTTTATTCATGTGTATATTATGGTAAGTGCATTTTATTGTTTTTATTTTGTAGAATGTTATTAGATGAATTGTTTGTAATTTATTTTAGTTTATTTTGTTGATTTGTGCGTAATGACTAGATTGTGCAATTCGTAGATGTTTTTTTAAGTTTAGATGTTTAAAAAAATCTATTGCAGACTTTTCTTCACTCGGCAATTCCCAAATTGTAAAATCCATAGCTTTATCAAAAAGAGAATTAAAAAATTAAACTAGTATTTCAATGGCGACTTACAAATATAGAACTATCTAAAACTTGCGCAATTTGAAATCAGCGTGTTCGCAAAATTTGGCGTGCTGTTTAATGGGCAAGTTTGATAGATTTGGCGAACATGGATTGGTACACAGCATTCTGTGTACATGGTATTCAAAGAATACCATGTACACAGAATGCTGTGTACATGGTATTCTTTGAAATTTATTGCTATAACAGCAATAAATTTATTAAAGTGAGGTGTGCATAGTTTGTAGATTCTTTTGCTGCTTAAATTGTGCAATTTGTAGATGTTTTTTTCAAGTTAAAACATATCACTGTGTATATGGATTCTTGTCAAATATTTTTGGTTAGAAACTTAGAATAAATATTATAAACTGCTATATAAATTTTTTGTTTCAGATTTTTAGCTTAAATTGTTTGTTCAAAACGTGATTTTTGCAGGTGCAAAAACCTCGTTTTTGGAAACATTTTAGGCTTAAAGTTCCAAATGTAGACAAAAAATTTAGATAGTAATATGGCACCATAAATTTGGCAACCTGAGGGTGCATATAAGTAGTTCCAAGAATTGAATTGCTGTAATAATTTAGACAATATATTTACTTTTTAATATCTTTATTAGGTAAAACTTCTGGTTAAAAGTAAAATAATATTGCTTTTATATCAAATTAGTGCTGTTTATATTATTTTTTGATACTGATAACTTATTGTATAGTTTGAAAAACTTTTAGTGAATTTTTTTTATTAAGATATAAGATTTTGTTTTTTAGGCTAATTTACTTAAAGATCAAGGCAATTCTGCTCTAAATGCAGGGAATTTTGAAGATGCTATCAAACATTATTCAGAAGCTATCAAGCTTGATCCATCTAATCATGTTTTATACAGCAATCGCAGTGCTGCTTATTGCAAAGCAGGAAAGTACACAGATGCTTTACAAGATGCCGAGAAAACTGTAGCATTGAAATCTGACTGGGCAAAGGTAAATGTATCTTCTGAATATCTGATTTGATTATTTTATGTTGTAACGTAGATATTTGATGTTCTTTTTTGTAGTTTATTTTAGCCAATATTTCTTACATCTTTATTTGCTGCCTAGTTGGTATAGTGGTTAGCATAGCTGACGGCAGTGCTGAAGGGTCCGGGTTCAAATCCTAGAAAAGGCATGGATGTTTGTAAATGTAATAGTATCCATGCGGCATGAAGACACTCTAAGTACGCGATGAGCCAAAGGTCCTGGTGGTAGGGGAAGAGGTGTGGGAGACCCTCAGATTTGTCCCCCTGGGTCGCTGTCCATTAAAATTGGGGTGGAACTGAGCTAAATCTCGCTGTCACCTATAAGATACTCAAGGCTGTTGCCAACAACAGGCGTAATCTTCCACTCCTTGCCACAGGGAATTTTGTGGGCTTGGGCTAACTATACATCAGACAAGTGAGCACCAGCAACGCATCTTTATTTTGCTGATAATGATTCAAATATTTAATGATACTGGCATAAGTACAGTAGAACTCCAATTATCCATATCAGTTGGGACCGGACCTCGTTCGAATAATCAAAAATTTTTTTTTTTTTTTTTTTTTTTTTTTTTTTTTTTTTTTTTTTTTTTTTTTTTTTTTTTTTTTTTTTTGGATAATTGGATTTTTTCTGAAGAAAGGGGCTACATACACTTTAAGTAATTAACCCCTTCAGGACGAGCGTCCCATATACGCATTCCCTAAGAACATCTCTTACATGTGTGCATCATCGCATTCAGATGATAGGCATTTTAAGGTGGAACATTTTTCTGAAGGCCACTAGATGGCATCCTGTGTCCAGAAATGAACAGTTTTGTTCACCTTGATTTGATATATTTATTGACTTAATTTTACTCATAGCGTTAGAGGGTGGGGAAGGGGAGGGAAGGTAAAAGAGGTGGCTTTTAACAGGTGCAAGAAACATTTATCGATTTATCCATTTTTTAGTCAAGGGATTTGAATCCCGAAGGACTATTAGTTTCGTTTTGGCATTTTGCGTCGGACTCATAAATGTCGGTTCACTTTTCAAACTGTTGCCACAAAATGTTAGAGTCCTGCATTATATTTGAAGAAATTAAATAATGAAAAATCTGCATAAATGTATGTATATTTCTCGTATTGTGATAAAACAACGGTACATAGAGTCATCGAATTTTGAATAACGTAATCCTCCAACGAATATGAGCATGTGGAAGACCAAATTTGAAATTTGAAATTTTTTATGATCGATTTCCTATTTTTTAAAACTTTGACGAATTTTTGATTAACAAACTCAAGGATTTCAAAGCGAGCAATGGCAACGTTGTGCAGAAAAAACATTTTTATCTCCAGCGCGTGAGTCTCTGTATCGGAAATTCTAAAGATATGCTCGTTTTAAAAACTATTTTGCGATATTGCTGTTGCACTGGATCTTATGGTTTAAGTGCGAGGAACATGATATTTAATAAAGAAAGGTAACACACAAAATGTTAAAAAAAAACGCCCCTTTGGACGTAATTTAAAATCTGAACATTTTAGATTTTTTATTTTTTTTATTTGTTTTTTCCTCTATTTACTTTTGGTTACGCGGAGTTTTTTTTAGAGGATTACCCTAGATGGTAGTGACCATTTTAAACAAATTAATTTTTTAAAGAGTAAATGATACTTTTCTAGAGTTACAAAGTGATACTTCTCTGTGCTTTGAGATTTACCACACTCGTTTCATTTTAAATTTTGTTACTTCTTACTGTAAATAGTCTTTATGTGTTCTTTTTATTAATTTAAACTTTATTTGATTTTAATTAAAAACTTCTTACTGTAAATAATTTGGAATTTTTAGTGTAATCTTAAATTTTTATCGATTAAAACTTTGGAATAATTTGAATAGAGCTTCGAAAATTATTTAGAAGATAAGCAATTTTTTAAGTATATTTTCATGTAAAATAAAGAAAAAAATGTTTTAAGGGCTAATTTTAACATATATAAGAGCTCAAGTAATAATCTAAAATGATACCAAAAATTACGATGCTAGAAGCGAAACTTTTGTTTTTCTGATTTTTGTTATAAAATTAGACTTAGTGATGCAAAACCTCCGTCCTGTACGGTGACTGCCTTCGATTCTCTTCCATCCCGCACGAGCGTCTTAAACAAAGGTGCGCCGTCGCAAAAAGGTTAATGTATGTACTGTATGTTGAAAATGGAAGAAAAAGCTATTTTTGAAGAAAAAGAGGTTTTAATTGATTAAAATGAAAAAACAACACTTTTACATACAGGTTTTATGTACTGTACAGTACTTACAAGTGCTAAAAGTCATTGCTTGCTGAATATCTCGGTCAAAGTAAGCTGTTTGACTGTCTTAACCCTTTGCAGTCGGATTAAATTTGGAGATGGGTATTGCTCTTGTCAGAATTAATTTCCGTTGATAGAGCAGGGATACATAACACGCAAGTTTATGATGGATAAACAAGATTTAGTAATTCTCTTGTGAACTTTAGATATATCTTTATTCCATACACTCATCTAGTGATATGTTTTTGTATAAAAATTATGTTTTATAATTCTTTCATGTGATATTTTTCAAAACATTCTCCAACATGCAGGCCCCAAAATAATTGGTTTGGTGCCTTCCACCCTTAATCTTTCTGTTTGAACATACTCTACAATCTTTACTTTTTGCATTTTAGCAATGCCGCAATATATGCAGTTTTCCATTAAGTCTTTCTTCCTTATTGGAGGTCGATGGTCTTCCCGGTTTTGAATCTGCTCCGTCATGAAAATCATGTACTAGTTGTACCACCAATTTTCGGATGAACATAAAATGTGGCATAGGTGTCCTGTTCTCTCTTCTAGCTGACACCTTATATAAAATGTAACTATTTATTGCACAAACCTCTAATCTCCAGAAAAAAGTTTTTGCCAATATTTGCACGATTTTCTCATAAAACAATATGAACTTGCTAATTGGTCAGCCTTATCCATACCTCCCATATTCATATTATAATTTATAATAATGTTTGGTTTGATAATGTTGACGGTCCCAGCTTGTTTCTTCCTTCTTTCTGTAATTGTCGTGCCCGATGTATTCGTAAATGTTTAGTATGGTGACTATTCTTTTATAAGAATTATTTTCCACGCTAATAATAGAATATCGCCTGATTGGTACGCAGTGACAGTATTATTTTTTGTTACAGCTGGTTTTTTAATCACAGCTGGTACATATTTCCTGTTTGTGCTAATTGTAGCAGTTAAATAACAGCTTAGTTTTAGAAGTTCCTGCACTAATGGGATCCCTGTAAAATATCTGTTCGTAAAGATGTGATATCCCTTTGCCCCAGGATTTGCGGTCAACAGCGTGTGATACAATTGCAAGATGATCCTTGAACTGACAGGTAGGTCTGGACGAATGAGAATGTCTGTAACTCTTCCATAGTAGGGAAGCATAGTATATATGTATCCTGTATGTGCATCTGACAATACATAAATCCGGATTCCCCATTTGGTGGGCTTTTTAGGATTATATGTAATAAAGCTTATTTTGCCCTTGAATTTCACAACAAACTCATTGATGGATATTTCTCTATCCGGTTTAAAATACGCTTGGAATTTTCACCAATATAATCCAGAAAGTTGCTCACTTTTTGGATCCTCGTTGATACATTTTTCTATTTGTGGAAACATTTTCATTCAGATGTAACATCCAAAATATTTGGAAAAATCTTTGCTTCCGAAACATATCTCTAAAAAATGGTATGTTTCCAATATAATCCTTAGTCCAATAATATTTCATGCTAGGAATTAGTATAGTACCCATGTTCAGGACTACACCTAAAAAAGCTGTTAACTGTTCATCATCATTTAGAATTTGAAACTCAGAGTGTGATGAATCACACGCCATCCATTCTGCTATATCCTCAGCACTAACTTCTAAACATCCAGGAATTTTCAAAAGAATGTTTCTTTATTCTAAAAGTGATAAGTCATCCTTATCTTCTTTAGTCTCTTCCCTTTCTTTTTCTTGAGCTTCTTTTTCCTTTTCCTTCTCTTCTTCAACTGTTGTTGATTCTGAAAGCAATTCAGATAGTCAGAGTTGGGATATTTAGAGTTGTACTGTAACTAGAATATTTTAGAATTTAATTTTCCCCCTGGAAAATTTATTAACTGTTTGAGTCCGGCGTCGTATGCCAAAAATACGACGCAGCGCGATAGCGCTTCTCTTGTTTTGTATTGAGAATGCGATGATACTGCTGTTGGTTAGTATACTTTATGCAATTATTGAGAGCAGTTGTAGTGATATCAGTAGGAGTTGTTTTATAGGAATTGGAAATTGTTTTCATTTTTTTACCAAGTGTTATACTGATAATTACGAAATAACCCATGTCAAGTTCTGATTCATTTGAAAGTGATAATAATGACCTTGAAAGTGATAGTGGAAGTGACATCATCATTCGTTCTAAGAGATTACGAGTTATTAGTGATAGCAGTGATGATGATGAAGTAACTGCAAGTACCTCGATGACGATATTATTGATGAGTTTTTACCCGTGGATACAATTTTTTTGAATGAATCGAATACTTTTTCTGAAATACCTGGACCAAAGCATGCCCCTCCTCCTGATGTGAAACCAATTGAATATTTCAATAATTTTTTTTTCAAGTATACTAACCAACAGCAGCATTTTCATATTCTCGATACAGAACAAGAGAAGCGCTGTCGAGCTGCACCATATTTTTGGCTTACAACAAGTGAAGCGCACGCTGGACTCAAACGGTTAAACGAGAGACTTGTTATGCTGTTATAGTACTCTTAACACATATACATTGTCACCAAGTTGGTAAGTTGGTTTAATTTTTGCAAAGAAGGTTCTTAATTTTTGCAAAGAAGGATACAAGTTTGTTCTTTGCATTTAGAAAAATTCATTAATATTTAGGACTGCCTGAAATTGTTTTCAAAGTTACAGGCATGGATAAAAGCCACAATATGTAACTTTGAAAATGGTTAAATCATGGTGATGTAATGTGAAAAAGTGATTTAATTTTGGAAATTAAAAGTGATTTAGTTTTTTTATATACTATGACTGTAATTTGTATATCTTTATTATCTAACTAAATAAAGAGTGATCTGCTTGTTTGAACGTATGCTGAAATGATTAATAATATCTCTTCCAACTTCTATGTTTACCAGCACTTTACAAATCAACATGTTTTTGTAATTGAAGCCTATGAAATGCATCCTCATCCAAAATGCACTTTTTTGTTCTTTTTAAATTTGTATATAATTTTAAATGTAGGCTTTTTATATTCAGTTTGGTAACAAATAAAATGATAGTTTTTATGATTTTAGAGCACAAATTTTGGTACTATTTGGTTTTGAGGGCCGTAAAAAATCGCCAAACTTTTGTTGATGCCAGTGCTGCCAAAAATAATTGTGCCAATCCTAACGCAAGAAAGGAATTATAATAGTAAATAACTATCTAAGATTGATGTTTTAATTTAGATGAAAAGTTAATTTCATATAATACTTTTTTATTATTATAATTTATATATAAAAGACTAAACATGACTGAATGGAAGCATAAGAGTAAATACTATTCAGATCATTATTATAATTTAGTTTATAAAAATTGCTAACTGAATGGATTGCCTGCATCGCTATTTCGCTACCGAGTTATTGCTAAAGCATGTCATCTTGTTGGTTGTTCAAACGTAATTTTCTATAAGGAATGATGCCTTTTCTTTGAAAACATTCTTGGGAAAGTGCAGAATCACCCACTTATTTGTTTGCCGCTTTTTACAAGGGTAAAAATAATTGGATTTTTGTCAATTTTCTTTTACTTCAGCCAGTTAAAAGGCATCCATTCAGTTAAAAACGCGTCAAGCAGTGGGTGATTCTGCACTTTACCCAAAATTCTCTCACAGACTTTTCATCATGGGCAATTCCCAAATTGTTAAATCCATAGGATATCAAAAAAGGATTTAAAAATTAAACTAGTATTTCAATGGCGTTTAAGAAATATAGAAGTATACAAACGTAATGCAATCTGAAATCAGATGGAAGTATATAAACTTACGCAATCTGAAATCAGCACGCACGCTAGATTTGGCACGCTGTTAAATGGGCGCGTTTGCTAGATCTGGCGCCTACATTTTCACTGCAGTATTTTTCCAGGAATCCATTAAGAACCAGAAGTACTGTTCAGGTAAAATTTACAATAGTAGTAAGTTATGCAGAAGTGTTTGAATTTGTTTCTTAAATTTTGCATAGTTTTGGACAGTGTAACAAAAACCGATATCAGTCATTCTTACCTTTCTTAAAGGAATTTAAATGTACTTTAGTAACTGTTTTAGATGTAATTGCTTCTTTTCCACTTGATTTTTTAAAAAAAATTTAGTCTAATTTATTGCTTTTTAAAATATGTTATGCTAAAATGATATTTTATGGTATTTAATAATTCCTAGTTTTTTTTTTTAGGGTTATTCTAGGAAAGGTGCTGCCCTTGCATATTTGAAGCGATATGATGATGCTTTAAATGCATACAAAGAGGGTTTAAAGTATGACCCAAATAACCTACAGTTAAAAGAAGGTATCAAAGAAGTTCAATCTCAGATGTCAGGAGGTAATTTATTGGTGATAATTAATGATACAATTAAATGTTGCTGTTTGTAGTAATAATATAGTTTTAAATAAATAGCAGGAATTACTTATCTATTGAAAATTTCCCTTTCCCTCCTTAAATAAAATTTTTCATTAACTGTAAGGGGGAAATTTTTTTTTTTTTTTTTTTTTTTTTTTTTTTTTTTTTTAAGTATTCAGTTGTTTCGTTAGTGTAACTGAAGTTGTTTTCCTTTATTGAAGAGAATTTGAGTACATTCACATATAAAGCATTTTCTGTTATTTGCTTTTTGCCTGCATTTACAATAAATGTAATTTTTAATGTATTTTCATGGAAGTAGCAAATACTTTTCAGTTCTTTAATTAGTATTTCCCAGTTGCAACAGCAGCGTCCATTATCTGCATTATGTGCCTGTGGCTTAGTATCTTTCCAGAAGAGAGCATGTGAACTTACCAGACCATTGCCATATCTATTGTTTCACTAATGCTTTTGGGCATTAATTATTACATACATACATATTATAATATATATTGAACTTGTATGCACTAGCTAATGAGTAAACAACTCATCTTTATGAAGTTGTCATTGCGAATATCAGTGATATCGTGAAAGTTATTTATAATGTGTTAAGGGTAAAATGAACTTAAAATGAACAATATTCTCGAAGCTTTATTTTCAAATTTGTAATTATTAGAGTTTGTGAGCTCATTAAATATTTCCTAGTGGCCATATCATTGCCTACAGTTCGGAATGAAACTCGCTATGTGTCTTTAATGCTTATGCTTACAGTTAAGAAATCTGGAAAGAATTTCTAATTTGCATTATCATATATGTATTGTGGCATCATCTCTGACGACATGATTTCTAAGTATAAATCTGCTTTCTGCTGAAAGTGTACAATAGTGTAAGTCACCTTAAACTTCCATTTAATTTTGAGATTGTTTCTTAAAAATAGCATTCCTTAGTTTTGCATGCAAATGTAGAATTTTCATTTCGGTGTTAACAAAAGAAGTGCCGAAGAATTATTCATGTACACCTTTTAAATATTTTAATTGTGGACGAAAATTTTATTTCATGACAATTTTTTGATAGTAGAAATTTTTACTGATGCAGTTTAATAATAAGCTTGCTTAAAATTGTATAAAAGAATAAATTCCTATAATGTTTGAATGTGGGAATTACATTTTGAAGGCAGTATACAGGCTGTATTTTTGAACAGGCTGTATTTTGAAGGCTGTATGCATAGAGTACAGCAGATTCTCCATACTTTTTTAAAAAATTTCTGAAAAAGGAAGAAAGAAGGAGGGAGGGAAGGAAGGTGTGGAAAATATAGAAAAAACTAGGATTTTACAAAAATGAGGGTAGAAGATTAGTATGCAAAACAGAACCAGCTAATTCGTCCGAGGATGGGCTGAATACTTACAACATCAAGTATTCACGTGTTGAGTACGTTACTGACTACGAAGAGTAGCCAGCTGTAGATAATAAACTTTAACTGATAATCTCGTTTACATAATTCCCTGCAGTGAAGGGCTTGTTTATCCTGCTTTTAACTTCATTCATTTAGGTTATGGTGAGTGTGTAGCACAGGGATGTCAAACTCATAGGTACACTTGGGCCAAACAAATAAGGTTTAACTTTAGGCGGGCCGCAAAAAAAAAAAAAAAAAAATCAATATTCATAGAAACGTAGATTTATTTCGAATAATACAATAATAAACATATATATATATTTATATAGAAAAGAACAAGAAAAATGTAATGTTTACGTCCTGATACTTGACATCTCTTCTCTGCTATTATCTTTCCTATTTCGGGAGAAATTTTGTTTGCAGTGATAACTTTCAATGCTGACCCAAGGTGAGCATCATTAATACGGTTTCTAATAGGAGACTTATTACCTTTCATGACTGAAAATAACTGCTCGCACCGATAAGTGCTACCAAACATGGAAATAATTTCATATGCGAATTTTCGAATATTTTCAAACCTGGCTTGTAAATATTTGTAAAATTCAGGCACACTACTTCAATGAATTTTGCTTTCAAATTTGAGTTGCATTGAATCTCGATCACCTCCATTTGCATATGGCTGGGTACTGAGTCAATACTTATTGAGAAAATCGAAGGGGGGAAAAAAATTGTCTTCGAGGGAACTAAAATCATTAAACCTCGTTTCAAGTTCAGTTGTTAAATTTGCAATTTTTTCTGCGTATTTTTGATACGAACAAGTATCATCTAAACTTGATTTGTTCATGCTGCACGCCGGGAAGTGCGTCAAATCTTCATTTTTAAGTTGTTTTTCCCAAAGAACTAGTTGACATTTGAATGCTTTAATTATGTCAAACATGTTCGTAATGATATGATCTTTTCCTTGTAATGATAAATTTAAATCGGTTAAGTGTTTGGTTATATCAACCAAGAAAAATAAATCTTGTATCCATATTGAATCGTAAAACAAACTTACGTCTTGATTTTTCGTTTTTAAAAACTGACACATTTCTTCTTTCAAATCCCAGAATTGTTTGAGAATCTTGGAGCAAGATAACCAACGTACCTCAGTATAGTAGGACAAACCCGAATATTCACTATCTAACTCACTTAAGAAAGCAGTGAATTGACGCTGATTTAAACCTCGAGATCTTATAAAATTTATAATTTTTTTTATATATGACAAAACATTCTCCATATTTATTACTTTCGTCCATAGAACTTCTTGATGTATAATATAATGCATATGATGAATGTTTGAACCGTGAATTTCACTAAGTTTTTTTCTTAGTAATGCTACAAAGCCGTTGTTTTTCCCGGTCATTGATGGAGCGCCATCTGTAGCTACAGAATTTAATTTTGCCAAAGGTAGATTGTATTTCTGCAGAAGTCCAAAAACACAAGTAAATATATCTTCTCCTGTGGTAGTACCAGGCATCGGTATAAGTTCCAGTAATTCCTCAAAAATGTTAAAATTCTTGTGACAAGAACGAAGAAACACTGCTAATTGAGCTTTGCCACTAATGTCCGTGCTCTCGTCACAGGCAATCGAGAAAACTTTCGAAATTAGATGATTTTGCTTTGATCTGATCACTTAAATTCACTAAATCAGTAACTCTTTCTGCAACTGTATTTCGAGACAATGAAATTGATTGAAAAGCCTTCACATTTCCAGGACAAACAATTTCTCCAGCTTTCATTAGGCATTCCTTGATGAAATCACCGTCAGTAAAAGGCTTCGAATGTTTAGCTATCAACTAGGACAAGACGTAGCTTGCATGTACCGCCGCTTCACTTTCTGGCAATACTTTACTAAACATGGACTGTTGCTTTTTCACTCCTAACTTGAGCTCTTTCAACTTTTCTTCTCTCATTAATCCTTCGTAATTGTTATATTGTTATATTGTGTTGTTCGTAATGACGTTTAATATTATATAACTTTGGTACATTAATAGTATTATTACATATCAAGCAGATTATTTTATCTTTTATTTCAGAGCAAAAATATTCTAATTCCCATTTTACTTGGAATATTCTGTGTTCGTCAGCGATTTTTCGTTTAATTTTACTACCACTTGGTTTTATATAGACATACTGAATACAAAGGGCTGGAATAAACATGGTTAACGTTAAAAAGTTAACAAACATTTATTCTTTCCACAAGAGATAAATCAAAATGCTGAAATATTTCTTTAAAAATATTCTAACAATATCACAAAATGTCAAACGTTTAGCAAAAATCAATTCAAAACAGAGAAACTAATTCTCTCTCACAGTGAAATCGCTACAAATCAATCACAGCATTAAGTAAACAAACAGTTCGCTAGAACTACAGCTACTACCGAGATGAGTTGTTTGTTCTCGGCTTTTAAAAGCTTTATAATTAATTTCTCGAATATACTGGAAACATCTATAAATATCTGGATTTTTGTGGACAGCAATTACGAGATATTTATTTATTAGGTATTAAATGCATGCACTGTTCTATTTTTTACCTTCCAACGCAGCTGTCTTTTCGAAAATCGTCTGCGTTGCTAAGGCAACATGAAGCAAATCTAATTACAATTCTAAATAAAAAAAACTAACTAAATAAATAACTATGAAATCCGTAACAATATGAATTAAGTAATAATTAATAATAAAGCAAAGTGCATGCACATGCTTGCACCAATATATCGTACAAAACTATGATTGGAAAACTGAGACCATGAGTTCAGCCACATTTGGCTATCGGGGTATGCGTACAAGTTCTGAGTGCACGTGTCCCCCAAAAGCCGAAGGTAGCTGAATGCAAGCTACTCACATGCATTTGTAATTTAAGTAGTGTGTGTGTCAGCTCGCTGTGAGTAATCTAACAACACTGAATAAATTATCGTTAATTACTTAGCAGTAAACATTTCATTTTTTTCTTTGTTGATATGTTATTTTATTATTATATATTAGTATTTGCTGATATATTGGCCGCGCCGCAAAAATATTTGTTGTGGGCCGCGAGTTTGACATCCTTGGTGTAGTGGATAGACAATGGCTCTAAATATATTGCTAGAAATATGTGACTATAACAAAACTAAAATAATCAAAAAATAATCAAAACATATTTTCATTGCAACCCGAGTGAATTGGTAAGTTTGACATCCTTGGTGTAGCACATGTATCTTGTGTATTGTGATTCAGCTCAATTTTTTTTTTTTTTTTTTTTTTTTTTTTTTTGTGTGTGTGTGTGTGTGTGTGTGTGTGTGTGTGTGTGTGAATTAAGCTGTCTCAAACTGAGACACAAAAATTATCAAGCTAGAAATTTGTACAGAATTTTCATGTATCAAAGCATCTGAAATTTCTGTGAATCATGCACATTGCAATGTATGCAACAAAGACTTCTCAGTTGCACATGTCGAAAAGAATGTTGACGGATACTTTCTTATACATTATTGATGAAAAATATCTTAATCAAGTGAAAATTGAGTTTCTACGTATCAAGTAGGTAATTTGAAAGATTTACATATTGAAGTTGCAGATTTACATATTGATATAGCATGGGGAGAAATTGCAAAATTAAAAGATATGAATGTGTACATTAAATACAAGGTATTGCCTATTGCAATGCTTTCTGCTTTAATAACACCTAATTCAAATAAAGCTTGCAAAAAAAAAAAAAAAATTCTGTTATAAAAAAAAATTGGACTGAATTTCGACCAAATTTAGGTACGAAAACACTTAAAGCAGTTCTGGTTGAAAAGGTAAATATATAGTCAAATGAAGAACTGTGTTATAATAATAATTATCTTATTCAGAACTTGAGCATGCAGCATTGGTAATTTGGTGATATCGCCAACCTGAACAATGGCTTTGGCGACTAATTTTGTTGCCAAATTTGGTGAGAAATTGCCAAAAGTTGCAAACTTGGTGACCATTTGGCAACATTTTGGTCCTGTTCCTATATCACTGAAATAGGTATTGTAATTGAATAAATGTAATTGATCACTACATTATCAATATCCATAATTTAACCCTTATATTGCTTTCCAGTAATTTCGAGAAGCGGAAAGTACGAGAGATCATCTGATGTTATCTTAGTGTGAATTCTGAAAACTAGATTGGGTTTAGCTTTTTTCATAAGCTGTGATTTTTATTGCATTTTGTTTAATGTTCTTAGTAGTTGAAAGTGTCACTACTGAATGTACTCTGATACTGTGAAGATTTATGGGAGAATTTTTGTGGGAAGTTCCAGAATTCAAGTGTTTCTTTTGATAAAATAAATTTTATCAACCCATCATCATTGGACCTGTGTGAATTCTCTCTATTATGAACTTATATGCATGCAACAATGTGTATATAATTTACAAAAAGTATTTTTAATTATTAAGTTTTTTATATACATGAATTTTAAGTTAAATTACATTGATTACAGTTAATGGTTAAAAAACATGCCCTACACGTGCATGCAAGTTATAAAAATGCCGTTTGCGTGCTGACTACTGACAAGTTTTGCTGTAGGTTGCAGTGTATGGCCGAGAAATTGTCATGCAAAATCCATACAATTCAGCTGAAAATTTTGTGCCAGATAAGGCAATTTCTTATATGTTGTATTATATTATGTAGGTCGATTTGATGGAGGTTTCCCCAATCCATTTTCTGGACCAGGCATTATGGAAAAATTAAGAAATGATCATCGCACTAGAGAGTTTTTAAATGATCCAAGTTATTTAAAGTTACTATCTGACTTGCAGCAGAATCCACAAAGCATGATGTAAGTTATTTTTCTTTCTTTATATTTTTTAAATAGTTCATTTTCTTAAAAGGATTATTTCTCTATGGAGATTTTGTTGGCATTAATACTTTAAAATCTCATTTAGTGAAAAGTTGAAAGACCCAAGGGTAATGACAACGCTGAGCGTTTTGTTAGGCATCGACTTGAGCGGTGCTGCTGGTGCTGACGATGATGATGATGTTGAAATGGAGCCTTCTAAGACAGAACCTCCAAAACCAAAAGAAGAACCTATGGATATAGAATTATCACCTGAAAAGAAACAGGTATGTTTATCTTAACTTTTGCTGTGTAAATACAATAAATTGTCCTAGTAAGGAACACCCACTGAACCAAATATTTTGTAGCTTAAATCGGTGTGTCCTAATTTAATTAGAAATTCAGGTTTGAATTCTTTATTCAAAAATCTAGCTGATTGCTTTTACAGAGTTGGCAGGGGTAATTTTTATACCTTGCACCTCGAAAGGCTTACAAGGATTTGAAAGCAAGATTTGTAGATCTACACTAGAAAAATGTGACCAACTGATAGATGCTTTTGTGGTATAAAGATATAATGAATGTGTGTCATAGAAAATTTGTGATGAATTTATGGAAAATATTTCAAGAACAGTGAAAAAGTTGTTTTAGGTTATAGAAGTCTTCTTAACATGTTTACAGAGTTGCCAACTCTGTGGATTTCCAACCATACTCCTGCCAACCCGATTTGCAACATATTTCTCCCGACTTTCTTTTATTCTTAAAATTTGTCACGATTTTTATGTGTATCTTAGCTATAGAGAGACTTTTCTATTTTCACCCCCCCCCAAAAAGTGGTTTTAAGCTTCTGAAAGCTGTTGTTTTTTTCTCTAGATTACATATAAACGAAAACCAAAGTCGTTTCATTAGTGAGAAATTATGATGCACTCCTGCTTTGTGAGTGAGAGCACATGTGTCTGAAAATGTCATGTTCCAGTTCTCCAATGAGCATAGAATGCCACTGTATATATCATCTGGCATATATTAGCCAATGAGCTCAAAGCAAGATTGAGGTTGTTATTTCTTTCAACTTGTCGCTGAGCAGTGTGGTGTCCTCATGCTTTTAAGAAATCATGATCTTTTGTTTTAGTTATGTCTGTTAAAAAGGTAAAATATTCATGTACTTTTCAGAAATTGTACACAGATGACTTTCCTCCTATTATTTCATCAAGAAAATGTTATACATTTGCAAAGTGTTCCTTTTGTCATTGCTGTTTTTCGATTTTGCTTGGTGGAAGAGCCTGTGTTCTCAAATATAATTGTATACAAAAACAACATGAGTTGTATTGAAAAATGCGAGCAATTTTATTGGCCGTTCTTAAAATAATATTGCAAAATATAAGTGTAAAGCTGATACAAATTTCTGCAATTGCCATCATTCAATATTATTAACAAAGTTCTACTAAGCAGAATTCATTAATTCAGTGGAGAATAATGGGAATATTGATTTGTTTATTAAAACAAGAAAGGTGTTAAAGATAAGAAAATTGATGTGATTAGCTAAAATATCTTGAAAATTTGCAAATTAAAAAGATGCATAAAATGTTTTATGCTTTTGGAAGAAACGTACACATTTTATAACTTTTTTCTTGTAATTAATGTAATATTTTAGAATCAATATCATAAATTATATATGCATAAATATTTGCATTTTAAAATGTAAATTGTTCAAGATTATAATATGAATAGTGCATTTTAAACAGGTATTTTTTAGAAATAAAAAATTAATAGTTACAATGTAAATCTGTAATGATTCAGAATATCTAACTACATTTATAAGCATTTGTAACTGACTGCTAACTCTTATTCCTACATGTTAAGGTGAGTTACCTTCTTTCCTTAAATCCTTATTGTAGATGTAAGATACAGCACTTCAAGGTAAAAATTAATATAAAACTATGTTTTACAGCTAATGATAACGTGATATAAAACAACTTACCACCTGTGGTACTTTGGTGGCTTTATATGTTAAATACTATATATTAACTGGATTTTTAACTCGAACAGTTCTACGCAAAGCTGCAACTTGGTCAGACAGACAACATATTTAACTTTTAATGCTCACCGATCTTGTCAATCAATGTTCGGCATTCATATCTTTTCAGATCAGTGCCCTTCTCTCTCAGCAAACAGCAGCCGTGTCAGCGAAGCTTCTGTTATGAATCATGCTGGTTATGATTTTAATTATTTTAATCTGTGCTGATTGACATAAAATTTGCATAAATCTCAGGACTGAGTGAGTACATGATAAGGCAATTTTTTTAAAAAAGAACATAAAATAAATAATACAAGCATAAATTTTGGAGGAATTTTGTAATTTAATGCTAATTACTTGATAAATTTTACAAAGTTGATTTTTTTTAATTTTTATAGCTAGGTAAGTATTAAAGTATGTTTAATAATAATGAGTAGCACTTAGAGATTTATTTTATTCTTGAATGGTATTACAAAAGTGAAGCTCAGGTAATGGTCCTTAAAAGTGCTTAATTTGTGTGTGTGGAAATGTGTACAAACCCTGTTGCTTGAAACTAGATATTAATAATTTATATTTCGAATTTCATATGTGAAAAATTACTGTTGCTGTATGTTATTTTAAAATTTGTTTTTAAATTATAGGCAATTGAAGAAAAAGATAAAGGGAATGAATTTTATAAGCAAAAGAAATTTGAAGAAGCTATAGCGCAATATGATAAAGCAATTGAACTAGATCCTACGGAAATGACATTTTTAACGAATAAAGCAGGTATTTTTACATTAGATTGTGAATAAATTACGTTATACTGTGCTTTTGATGTAAGTGGTATAAATTTGAACCTGTTTTACTCTTTCTAGCTGTATATTTTGAGCAGAAGGATTTTGAAACTTGTGTTAAAGAATGTGAAAAGGCTATAGAAGTTGGTCGGGAGAATCGGGCAGATTTCAAAAAACTTGCAAAGTACGTAGTTTTGTATTTTTGGTATGTTTTAAGATATGTTGGGATGATTGTGGTCTGAATGCAATTGGAATTCCATATTTTTTGCTTTTTTAACATCTGGTTTGAGAAATTTTGCATATTGTGTTGATCAATGTTCATGATAAATTTTTTTCATTAATGTATGGATTGCAAAAATTATTAGAGATTTGGAAAAGTTAATGCGTGAGTGAAAGAGTTCATGTAGTTCGAAAAGACATAAATAGAATCTGTTGATTGTATGAAAAAAAGCTACCCTAACAGAGTTTTGTCTTTATGAAATTTAATGGCATGAATCTAGTTTTGCATGATGAAACTGTCACTTCTTTGATGAATACAGCACAAAGTCCAAAATCCAGACGTCCATTATCCAGAATGATCTAAAATCCAGACCTTAAAGCCACTTTTTTTAATGCTTTACACATGTGCATTTTATTTTTCCTTCCATAATAAAACATGTGGAGGTTTTCATTTAAAAATTCCGATTCTTAATTTCACTTAGGCAATAAATAAAATATGTCATTATGGAAAAACAATCATGTAAGCATAAATTTGTGAGATTAATAATTTGGTTCCGCAGCTGTATATCTGCTTGGCATACATCTGAAACTGAAACATTCACCTATTTTATATCCCTGATGCCGACCTGGTGAGTCATTATTTATTATATTATGCTTTCATCATCCATCGCATGTTTATCAATATATGACAGCTTCAGCAATAACTCGTGCAGTGATGTCTAAACTTTTTTTATATTAGTAATTGAATAAGAAGAGTATGGCAATCTTTTATGCTAACATTATGTTTGGCGAATGAATATAGATTTTTAAATGCTGTAAGAAATGTTGATGAGGAAAAATTCAACAAAAATTTCTTCTCATATGCTAAAGCACTGGGATGCAAAGTTTATCTGCGGTGAAAATTTACAACTTAAGAAGGCTCTTTGTAGCAGAATTTAGGAATCGTAGATACTGCACCAGGCTGTATTTAACGCCGCCTCTAGATATAGCGTTAAGTATATGTGGGAGTTTATTTATTTAGGACTCGGATTAGTTTTAAGCATGTGCAAGAAATAAACGTAGGTATAGTAAATAACTAAACTAATGCAATTCAGGCTTAATTCAGTACGCAATAGGAGCAAGACAAAATTTAGCGAAACAAATTGGCTTTTGTCTCCAATCTAGTGATACACAGCCAATAATGTATAACGGGCATTATTAAGCTAGGCTAAAATTATCTTTACTGATTCTAAGGCATTTCAATTAATGTAGCGGACTGCGCTGCTTCCTAATCTTCTAGTTTGATCTAGCTTATTATTTTTTGAAGACTGTTATTATTACGGCAATTTTATAAAAACTAAGCTTGAACTTTTGATTATGTCGAAAAGAGTTTCCAATTCTGGAGCTGCCAAAGGATCTACAAAGCAAAACCATGTTTCAATGTCCATTAAACAAAAAATGGATAAAGTGGAATTACTGCAAAAAATGGATAAAGGCATACCCGTCTCAAAATTATGCAAGGAGTAAAACAACTGTATATGAAAGTAGAGTAGTAAGGCATAAGAAAAAAGAAAAAGGAACTTTTTGAATTTTTCGTGGAAGCAACTTAAACAACTTACATTGAAAGAAATGTTTAATAAAGTAAACAGATAAATATTAAGCTTTTTTTTTTTTTTTTTTTGTAAATTTTGATACTCTTTAGATCATAATTGTTCTTTATTTTATAAATTATGATTTCATATTTTTAATTGTATAATTTCTGCTTGCCATCTTCCCAGATTTAAATTGATCATCTAATATCCGGAAAAATCCCAAATCCAGAATTGCCGAAGTCCCGACGAATCTGGATTTCGGACTTAGTACTGTATTATGAATTGCAGATGAATCACTTCAGAACTCTGAGAACAATCACTTCTTTGATGAATAGCAGATAATTTGCATATGTCATTTCAGACAATAAAAAAAATTTCTTTAGAAGCTATCAGAACTGTGAAAATAGTCACTTGGCTATACAAAAAGTTAGTTATATTGTAAATATTTGGGCTAAACCTATTAGTGACAAAACTGATTAACTAATTCTTATCTTGCTTCCATGGACCCATCCATTGTTGAAAGTATGTTTAATTATATGGGTGATATTAGGAGAGAGTAGAACTTCAGCAGTGATGCCCTAGGTGTTGTAAATATGTACTGAATACTGAAATATTATGTATTTTCCTTTAATAAAAACATACACTAAGTTTTTGGATTAAAAAATTCCTCTAAGGATTCTGTTGATAAGTTTGTTGCACAAATGGACAAGTTTCCAAAATTCTTTATATTCCATTAACCATTCTCTTCCTGCCAGCAGTTCCTCATCTTCTCAACATGTGCGATGATGTATACTTTAGGTTGTAATTTAATACTTGAAAAGTAACATGAAAATTCATTATTCACTATAAAAATTTTTGATGTCCTGATGATCCTGCATTTTCAAAGATAAATATGAGTGCAGCAGTTTCTAGAAATTAGCCTCTTCTAAAAAGCAAGCTAAATAGTTATTTAAAAAAATTTTAAGAAACAGAAAAGGGTTCCAAGTAAAACAAAAATCATTATGTATTTTGCTTTAATAATAAATTGTTTGAAAAATGTGTATGTATTACATGAATGTTTTAAATTAGAACAAAGTCAGATTTTTATTGCACAGTAATTTTTAGTATTTTTAATGAAGTTGCAGTTACTCATAGCTATCACAAAAATACTTCCAAAATATGTTGTTTTTCTTTTAGTCTAAAAAAGGGCTTTCTCCCTGAAGGACTATTGTTTTCGTTTTGCGATTTTACGCCGAATCACTTTTCAAACTGTTGCCACAAAGTATTATCGCCCTGTGTTATATTTAAAGAAATTAAATAATGAAATATCTGCATAAATGTATGTATATTTCTCGCATTGTGATAAAACAATGGTACATAGAATCATCGAATTTTGAATGACGTAATCCTCCTACGAATATGGGCATGTGGAATACCAAATTTGAAATTAGGAATTTGTTTTATTATCGATTTCCTATTCTGTAAAACTTTAACGAATTTTTGATTAACAAACTTGAGGATTTGAAAGCGAGCAAAGGCAACGTTGTACATAAAAAACATTTTTATCTCCAGCGTGCGGAACTGTGTATCGGAAATTCTAAAAATATGCTCGTTTTAAAACTATTTTGCGATACTGTTAATTCTGTAATGACAAATGTAAGAAACAAAAGCAGATTATTATTATTATTATTCTGCAGAATGTTAGAGTTGATTTGTATTTAATTGGGGATTGTTTGACTCCAAATAATAATTTTGAATTTGGTGTTATAGTTTATTTTTTATAATGTAAATAATATTCTATTAAAATAGACTGGAAAATTACTTCTTAAATATGTTATAGTGCAGTCTGTTGTCATTTGATTATTACTTTTAATGATAAATTAATAAAGTTTATGTTAACTTTAATAAAGTTCTGTTACATTAACTTTAAAATAGGTGAAATGTCATTCTAAAGTTTGGTCATAAAATTTCTTTCAGTTTCTTAATTTTCCAACAACTTTTATCTTTTTTTTAACTTAATAAACTTTATTTTAAAAGGATTATAAAATGTAAAATATTTTAATCTATGTAGTATATACATTTTGAATTAATAACTCAGGAATTTTTTAAGTTACATGGCTTATTTTTTGCCTGACATCAATTTGGCATATTCTATGTTCTTTACTGAAACTTACAAAATTGTGCTACCTGACATTATTTCAAAACTTTAATATTCTGATACTATTTCAAAACTTTAATTAGCTAAAAAAAATAATAAAATGCTGATTTTTTAAAAAACATTTATTATTATGCTTTTATTTTAATGGGTTGCCATTTATGATTTGCTGAAATTTAAATGAAACATTTCTGCTGTTGTATGGTAATTTTTATGTCAGCATATGTTAAATGAGCATAAGACACATGTTTTTGTTGTGTTGATTGTCTGACATCTGTCTTTTGATAGTTAAGGTTCTGTTTTGTTTAATTAAATCTGTGCTGTAATTTAACATTTTGTGTTTAAAATTTCAGGGCATATTCAAGAATGGCTGCCGCATATATGAAGCTGAAGGATTACTATAAGGCTAGGACGTACTACCAGAAATCTCTGACAGAGCATAGAACACCTGATACACTTGCAAAATTATCTGAAGTAAGCATTGCCCTCCTATCACTCTATTAACTTCCATTTCTAAATTTGGTAAATAGTGCATTTAACCTAAAAATTGCCTTAACGTACACAGAATGTGACAAGTTCAGATTAAAAATTTAGATTATGTATGTAATACTGATTATTTTAAATCTACTCTGTATAAAATAATTAGGTCAGAACACTTCAATCATGGAGGAGAAAATTCTGGCACTAGAAATCTATGATGTATTGTTTAACCACATATCTTTGATACAAGCTGATTATAGTATCTGCTGATTATATTGGCAGTGAAGCAATGTCTGTGTAAAAAGTCACCAACTGACCAGTGTATATCTGTGCAAAGAAATATTTTCATGTTCCTTAGTAATAAGTTTGTAAAGTATCTAAATCTATTTCTATCTAATTCTATTCTATTGTATCTAATCTAATTCTAGTCTATCTAAATATTGGTTTCATTTTTACTTCTTGTACGAAGTAAAAAGAAAGTATTGTAATCGCGAAAAGTTTCAGGCAGCATATTTCAACGAAAATATCCATTTTGACCGCTATCGAATGCAATTTAACGATGTTTTTGCGTGATATCTGTACGTAAGGACAGAATAAAAGACTCTTTTCCTCCAAAAAAATTATAAAACTGCTTTAAAATGAATTCTGAAGAGAATTTTTCGTGGCGTCTGTACGAATGTACGTACGTACGTATCTCGCATAACTCAAAAACGAGTAGCCTCAGAACGTTGAAATTTTGTATATAGGACTGCTATAACATGTAGATGTGCACCTCGTATTTTGGTTGCAATCGGCCGCACCAAACGTATATAAATATATTTATATATATATCCACTCTGTTACCCGGCTCAGTGATCTCAGTTTCTTTACTCTTATATGTTTGTAAATTGTACATTTTTTGCTTTAAAAATGATTGAATTATGTTGTTCTTATCTTCCGGTTAAGGTTTTTTATGCCTTTAGTAAATCTGTATGCAATATTTTAGAATTATCAACAATTTTAAAGTTGTTTAAGTGCCGCTAAGCCTTTTTTTTATGGCGGCCATTGATTGTTTACATTTGAAACAGCAGACTAGTGGATTTGTTGCCAATCTAGAGAAACTTAGCTTCGCAACAACAAAGATAACGCCTTCATTTATTATTGCCAATTAAATCATGCTTAATCCTTTCTGGAATTTTTTCGAGGAAATAAGTGTTTAAGATTTACTTCGTAATTTTTAAATATAGATATTTTGAGTTTTTATGTATTTTTGCCTTCTCGCGAAGTGAGAACTGAATTAATTGAATGAGAAATACTCAATCGTCTGTGAAAAACTGTTTCTTTTTTGTTTTGTTTGCTTAATTTCTTTTATACATCATTCTAGCTTTATTATAGTATTTGAATAGAACATGTGGCAACGATTAGATAATTCTATTCTTAAATGATATAAATTTTGTGCATTATGAGTTATAATATGAACGAAATATATAATACTGTTAAGTGAATCCTAGCGCCAGAGTGTCGCTATGGTAAACAACAAATATTAGAGTGAATTTTAAAGAATGCATTTATTCTATTGTGGTTTATGCGCTGTCGGCGAAGTAGATTTAATTCAATCCAATAAGTTTAAATGAAATGCAAGAAAAAATGCGTATAATTTAATATTCCATACAAGGAAGTCATGTGGTGTACACATTAGATTTTTATTATAAATTTATAAAAATTGATAAATATTATTTGCAAATTGTTTTCTTATAGGCAGATGTCTATATCTACTGCTATGTTTCCGATAGTGGACTAAAGAAAGCAAGAGGAATTGTCAATAAAAAGGAACAAACAATAAAAGTAATTAAAGAGGTTTTACGTGAGGTCTAGTGGAAAATGCTGTTGTATCAAAAGTGAAAGAAAATGGTACATTTTCTAGGTACTTGCGTATTATCGCAACCAGATTGGCGCGATTTGTAAGTTTAAGTAAAAAAGTATGAATAGAAAGAAAATGTACATTTATTAATTACAGATAATTTTTAATACAGTTTATATTATTTTGTTTACCCTACTTACGGCAACCTTATGTTAATTTAATAAAGCGAGGTGTGCGTAGTTCGTAGATTCGTTCGTTGCCTACATTGTGCCATTCGTAGATGTTTTTTTAAGTTAAAACATGTCGCTGTGTACGTGGATTCTTGTCAAATATTTTTGGTTAGAAACTTTACGTTTTTGCTATCTAAATTTTTTGTTTTTGTTTCGGATTTTCAGCTTAAATCGTGTGTTCAAAACGTAGTTTTTGCATGTGCGAAAACCACGTTTTTGGAGACATTTTAGGCTTATAGTTCGAAATATAGACAAGAATCCATGTACACAGCGACATGTTTTAACTTAAAAAAACATCTACGAATGGCACAATGTAGGCAACGAACGAATCTACGAACTACGCACACCTCGCTTTATTAAATTAACATAAGGTTGCCGTAAGTAGGGTCGCCAAATTTGGCGATTTATGCGAATTTTGGCCTGGTTGCGTTAATACGTAAGTACCATTTTCTACATCTTTAATAACATATATTGTATAATTTATGCCACTACTTAAGACCTTTTGCCAACATGATGGTAATTTATACATACCATTCTGAAAAACTTCTTGTCCATAGATGCAGAAAACTTACAGTGCTTGCCTGACATCTGCTTCAATTTTGAATTCCCCTAATCCTTCAGAAATATTTGCAAGGAGAGAAACGTGATAATCAGAGGGTGCTAGGTCTAGAGAGAATGCCAGATGCGGCAGAATTTACCAGCCTACCTCTGTGATTTTCCGGTAAATCACCAAAGTAGTACGTGTTCTAGCATTATCATGATTTATATATATTTTAGAGTGGAAGTGGCAGGCTGCTTGACCTCACAGCATGCTTTTTACTTCCTTGTACGAAGTATAAAGGAAGTATTGTAATCGCGAAAAGTTTCAGGCAGCATATTTCAACGAAAATGTCCATTTTGACCGCTTTCGAATGAACGATGTTTTTGCGTGATATCTGTACGTAAGGACAGAATAAAAGACTCTCTTCCTCCAAAAAATTATAAAACTGCTTTAAAATGAATTCTGAAGAGAATTTTTCGTGGTGTCTGTACGAATGTATGTATGTATCTCGCATAACTCAAAAATGAGTAGCCTCAGAACATTGAAATTTTGTATATAGGACTACTAGAACATGTAGATGTGCACCTCGTATTTTGGTTGCAATCGGCCTCGCCAAACGTATATAAATATATTTATATATATATCCACTATGTTACCCAGCTCAGTGATCTCAGTTTCTTTAGTCTTATATGTTTGTAAATTGTACATTTTTTGCTTTAAAAATGATTGAATTATGTTGTCCTTATCTTCCGGTTAAGTTTTTTATGCCTTTAGTAAATCTGTATGCAATACTTTTAGAATTATCAATTTTAAAGTTGTTTAAGTGCCGCTAAGCCTTTTTTTTTATGGCGACCATTGATTGTTTACTTTTGAAACAGCAGAGTAGTGGATTTGTTGCCAATCTAGAGAAACATAGCTTCGCAACAACAAAAATAACACCTTTACACAAATACTGTTGCGAATTAAATCATGTTTAATCCTTTCTGGAATTTTTTCGAGGAAATAAGTGTTTAAGATTTACTTCATAATTTTTAATACAGATATTTTGAGTTTTTATGTATTTTTGCCTGGTCGCGAAGTGAGAACTGAATTAATTGAATGAGAAATTCTCAATCGTCTGTGAAAAACTGTTTCTTTTTTTGGTTTGTTTGCTTAATTTCTTTTATACATTGGTCTAGCTTTATTATAGTACTAGCAGCTTTGCTGCCAGCATTCGTCTGTCTTTTAAATGTACCAGAAAATGGCTGAAGGGAACACCAAACGTTAAATTTAAAAAATGCTTAGAATTTTACTCTGCAGAACAATTTCATAAAAAAAGTTATTATGTTTAACAAAATTACAATGAAATAAGCAATATCCTTGAATACAAACATTCATTATCCTAATAAATAAATTAACCAACTTCCCTTTGCAAAATCTTAAGAACTCAAATGGTATAAAGGAGGTTAAAAACTTTGTTCCTAAAAAAATCAGTCAAAATTTTTCAGTATCTTAAAAACAGTGAAATGAGCAATAAATAAAATAAAGGAATGCAAAAAACAAAAAATTCTGAAAAGCAAAGTATAATTAATGGTATTTTATCTTATATTTTCAAGGGGAAAAAATTACAATGAAATAAGCTATATCTCTTAATACAAATATTAATTATCCTAATTAAAAAATTAAACAACTTTCCGTTGAAGAAAAAAAATCACGCAAAACTTTTCAATATCTTATAAACAGTGAAATAAGCAAAAAATAACATGAAAGCAACTCAAAAAACATAAAATTCCGCGCAGAATTTTACTCTGCAGAACAACTTTATCAAAAAAAAAAAAAAAATGTATTATATAGGTATATAATAAAACGACAATGAAATATGCCAATATCTTAAAAACAGTGACATAAGAAATATGACGAAAAATTGTTGCCAAACCCATGTTTCTAAAAGAATGAAACTATTCAAAATTATGCAATTTCATCAAAAATCTATCAACAACTATAAGAAAGGAAAATTGTTGCCAAAATCACATTTTTAAAGATGTGAGAAGTGTACTCGGAAGTTTCATTTAAAAAAAATTTTAAAAATACATAATTCTATTATTTTTCCAAAATTTTTTTTATAAAAGCAGTCGCAAAGATGAAAAGTTAACGTGTCCAAAAATCAAAGAAAAATAAATTGTACATTTTTAAAAATAAACTTTTTTAGAAAAAAATCCCATTGAAAAGGTGTTAAGTCCCTTTGTTAAATAAATTCGTATTCAATCGATTAATTGAAACACGAAATTTATTTTCAGTTCGTAAAATAGCTAAGTGTCTACGTTTCATGACGATGTGAAAATGGAATGTGTAGAGTAAAATCTCGCTTTCCTATAGCCTATTGTGTCTCGAAATGACACGTTTTCGTCACATAACATAAAAAAAATTCTAATTCTAATTTTAAAAAAAATCGCTTCGAGGTGCACTGGCTCTTGTATAGATGCACCTATGTACCAAATTTCATGGCCCTGGGTCTATTAGCTTACGCGCAGCGCGAACGAAAGACACACACACACAGACTCTTTCTTTTATTATATGTAGAGATTTGAATAGAACATGTGGCAACGGTTAGATGATTCTTTAAATGATATAAATTTTGTGCATTCTATGTAATATGAATCATATATTGGTTGGTAAAGGCCGTTAATGGTCGATTGCGTCTTACTAAGTGATAAGACATAGACATAGACATTATAATATGAACAAATATAATACTGTTAAGTGAACCTAGTGCCAGAGTGTCGCGATGGTAAACACATCGAGTGAATTCTTAAGAATGCATTTATTCTATTGTGGTTTATGCGCTGTCGGCGAAGTAGATTTAATTCAATCCAATAAGTTTAAACGAAATGCAAGAAAAAAGGCGTATAATTTAATATTCCGTACAAGGAAGTCATGTGGTGTACACATCAGATTTTTTTCTTAATGGTATTTTTGTAGTTAATCCGCCTTTCATCATCTGTTATCATCTGGTCCAAGAAGGATTCATTTTTGTTCTGAGCAATCAGAGGTGGGCATATGATGACTCAATTGAGCAAATCTTTCTCACTTAATTCATGAGGACCTATAATATTTATAAACCAATTATAGTTTACAAATATGTTCTCAAATGGTTTTTTTATGGTTAAACTCTTCTGCAGTCTCTGTTATTGTCAAAAAAGGATATTGCTGTATCTTGGTCTTAAAAATAGCTTCTGGCCACCCAGATTTTATCATTAAAGTCGAAATGAGCTGCTTCAATATTTTCAAACCATCTTCTTGACGTTCTGTCCAAAATTGCATTTCTACCAAAATATTACAACCTTTACGTATTAAATATCATATTCTTCACGCTTAAAGTTTAATTCAACAGCAATATCACAAAATAATTTAAAAAGGCCATATCTTTGGAATTTCCAATATACAGTCTCTAGTGCTGGAGGTAAGATTTCCCCCCTCCTTCCATATCATGTTGCCATTGCTCGCTATAAAGTCGTTGAGTTTGTTAATAAAAATTCGTTAAAGTTTCAAAAATATGAAATTGATAATAAAACAAATTTCAAATTAGGGCTTCCTGGTGCCCATATTCGGGTGGAGGATTACATTATTCAAAATTTGGTTGCTGTAGGTACTGTTTTATCTCAATGAGAGAAGCATACATACATTTATGCTGGTTCTTTGGTATTTAATTTTTTTAAATATAATGCAGGGCTAAGACATTTGGTGGCAACAGTTTGAAAAGTGATATGCCATTTATGGCGATTCGATGCAAAATGCCAAAACGAAAGTAATAGCCCTTCTGTGCTAACATCCTTTGGGCTTAATAAGGGAATACATTTTACCTAGTATATGCTACAGTAAACTGTTATAATTTTTTAATGCTTTCTGCTTTTTTTGTTTGTGGAATGGAAAGGAGTTCTGCTTTATGGAACTATGTAGACAGTTTACCCCATATATGTGTGACACCCGTCCATAGTTGCTTAGGTTACTGCAGTTTTTAAAATTCTGTGGTTTTTAAATAGGGTAACTCTCTCTCCTCCTTTTATATATATATATATTTTTTAAGTTCATAGGGGTAATCTGACAATTGCACTACTGTGTAGCCATAAGAGAACATTCACATGACTATTATTATATTTATTTAAAAAAGTTGATTTTCAAAATTGTATTAGAATTTTAATGCTTAGCTGAGAAAGTAATTATTATTCTGTATGTAATAGTACTAAGTTTTGTTTGGCCATTTAGAAATCTGTTGTACATAAGACTGATGTTTGATATGGTATGTAAATATTAACATTTGTAACTTTAGGTTGAAAAAATCATCAAAGAAGAGGAAAAGAAAGCATATATTGACCCAGAAAAAGCATTAGAAGAGAAGAATGCTGGAAAAGAATGTTTCCAAAAGGGTAATTATAAGTTTAGGTGTTCTAAGAAATTATAACATGAAATTAATTTCATTAGAAACATGTGGATGAACTGTTGAACATATAATCAAGTATGTTACTAAAGAATAATTAGGGAGATTGAATGAGTTATAAGTGTTGTACTAGAAAATTTGTATATGTAAAAATTGGCCTTTTGGAGGAGTTATAGTTTTATACCAACTTGGAATAAGAACTGAACAATCACAGCAAAGCAAACGCCAACTGATATTCAGTGAACAATTTCATGGAGTCAGCTGCACATTTATGCATGTGCAACTTTTACCTTCTTTGATTGGCTGTGGCTTAAAACTATGTTCCACAGGTGTAAACAGAGCTTTTGCCTTTTATACCGTAGTTCTATAATAATAGTGATGGCTAGACCAACACGTGAATGCTCCCTTAGTCGCTTAGAAAACCTTAGAAATTCATGAAAAGTCTAGAGATAAAAATGAGCATAAATTAGTACTTTTTCCAATAAATCATTTAGGTTAAGGACCGATTAGTCCTCTCAAGTAAGAAAATATTTCGTATGTTAAAGAGTACGTTGTTAACAAAAATATCCATCCTAAAAAAGATCCAGGTGGAAAGTTATTGTGATCTTTTTCTTTTAAAAGTTATTTTTTTCTTATTTTAACCTGAAGCCTTAAATTACTGCATTGACTTTTAAAGTAAACATACAAAGTTGTTTGTTTACTATTCATTATAAATTAGTTCATTATATGTAGTCAGTGAAATTGTTCTGTTTGGCCATGAAGAAAAATTACACTTCTATTTGATATAATGCTGATTTTGAAATACAAGGTGTGCTCATAAAGTAATTGAACAATTTCTTATAAGAAAAGGATGTCTATACAATTTTTCTAATATTTCTTCAGGTTATTAAAACACCGTATATAAGTGTTGGAAATAACTATTCACAAAATACACAAAATATTTGATTTAAAAACCAACACATTTTCAAATTTTTGTCCTTTCATGGCAATCTTAAGCTTCAGAAAAAGGATAAAAAATTAGCTGGTGATAAGTCAGGAGAATATGGCAAGTGATTTATCACCGCTATTAGTTTAGCAAGATGCTATTTTACAGACAGTGCTGTATGGGGCTTAATATTATGTAAAAGAAGGCATTTCCTAGAATCAAGAAATTCCTTTCTAAATCACCTTATCCTGTTTCTTAATTGTGAAAGCATCTCTTTGTAAAAATACTGATTAATCGATCGACAGCAGGTCTAATTGTAGACACCAGATTTGATCTTGTGCTGTGATACACTGTTGTTCTAACTAGCAATAGTCAAAAAATCTTCATAGCAAGCTTTTCTGTCTTCTTTAGCTATTTTGTCAAAATTTGAGGCACAAATTGAGTACAAAGTTTCCTATTTTTCAAATTTTCAGTTAAAAAATAACCAACGGCTTTCTTTGCTTATACCAAGCATGTCTGAAAGTTACTGAGGTTTTACAAATCTATCAGTTGTTACCAAAGAGTGAATTTTCTCCACATTTTCTTTTAATTCTTTGAAGTTGAAGAGTGCTTTGTCTTTGGTTCGCATTCAGTACTTTCACATCTGTGTTTCAAGTGGTTGTACCACTTATAGACTTGTGTTCTAGATAATGATGCATTACCATATACTATTTGAATTACCTTTCAGCAACTGATTTACCTAATTTGTAACAACACTTAATGCTATAATGTTCCACTCGAAGCAAATGTTTTTGTGCAATGTCTTCCCTGTAGATAAAAATGACTCCAGCGTATTGATATGCAAACAACAAAATAACCAATTTAAACTGACTTTAACATGAGTTAAGATGGCACTCTAAACATGTTTATTCCTTCACTTTATCATTTGGTTTTTTAATGATTTTTAAAAATTTGTTCGCTTACTTCTTTAATGTATACCTTGTACCAAATGATAAAGTGAAGGAATAAACATGTTTAGAGTGCCATCTTAACTCATGTTAAAGTCAGTTTTCACCTTCTTGGCTATTTTCAGCATTTTCTTAATTGTGATTCATTTATGTGTGGGACTGCTGCAGATAGAGCTTACATCGTTATTCATAAAATAAGATATTTTATTTGAACAGCTAATTTAATTTTGTTTGAACAGTACAATACAAGTATGTGCATTCATAAAGTCAAAGCTCTGAATTTAACAGTTAACTGGGCCAAAACTGACTGACTTGCCAGATGCCTACAATTTACGCGTTTATTACTTTTTGTTGGCGGGAGAGCGGGAAATCCTGCATATGTATTTATAATATTGTAAATTAAAATTCTATAGGTGAAAGTAAAGATGGAGTGGACAAAATTTTAATTAAAACTGCCAGTGCTGCAGGTAAAATTGGGATTTCCAAATTTTTCATTCTCTGGTTTTTATCTGAATTTATCTTTTCTGTGTGAGATGTAGTTTAAGAAGAGTTGTTAAACACTATGTATTGAAAGAAAAGGAAATACCATAATGCTGTTCTAAAAGCAGTCACATAAATATGGCAAATGTAGACTGATGTAAGAAGTAAACATGTTTGATGTATAAATTCTTAACTTTTTCTTAATTAAAACTTTAAACTTTCTTATTTAATCTTGACAATATTTAAGGAGTGTAGGGACATAATAATAATAAAAAGAACTATTTATCTACACGGATATATGTTTAATTTTATTTTCATTGTATTTCAAGCATTATGCAATTTATGAATGTAAAATATTGAGTTATGATTATGGAAGTTATGATTGTGTGAAATTATTTCCAGAATATAAAGCAAAATTTTAAATCTGTAACACTAAGTTATTTAGCATCAAAACTTTACTAAACAAATTTAGTTATATAAATTATGCATTATAAAGAAAAATGTATAGATTTTGAGTCCTTATGAGTTTGCCTTACTGTATGGCATGAAAACATCTCTATTTATCATATTTCAAGGTTGTCAGCTATGAGAGATGAAAGTCATCTATATTAAAGTAAACAAATCTCTGTGGATGTGATTGCTTTAACTGTATTTGCTAATATTAATAAAGTACTTGCCAAGTATTCTTTTTATATTTAAAACAAAGTTTAATTGCATCTTTAAAATAATAGGTTACAAGATTGTGTAGGTAGAGAGAAAAGAATAAATATATCCTAATTTGTAAAATGATGACAACAAAAACTCATATTTTATTACTTTTGCAGTATTATGGTATTGTCTCATAAATGCTTTTTAATAATGTATGTTTTTTCTTTCTAAAAAGTTCATTGAAAGTTTTTCATAAATTATTTGAGATCCCCTGTATTGTAAGGAAGGAAATATTGCTTGCTCATAAGTGAAAGCATCTGAACTCTGAATATATATAAAAGAATTACATTATGAATTAATATTTAGATTGTTTTTATTGCTGATGCATGTATTTGGAGTAGAATAACTGTGTTTAAAGTCAGTATGACCTGTAGTTATTGAATGGTAAAGTAGAGTGAGAATAATACGTCTATCAAAAATTGAGTGCTGATTTTAATGTATAAAGAAAATTTATATTTACTTGTTTTATTTTTAGGTGATTATCCAGGTGCAATGAAGCATTACACTGAAGCAATTAGACGAAATCCTGATGATGCTATTTTGTATAGTAATAGGGCTGCTTGTTATCAAAAATTAGCAGAATTTCCTTTGGCATTAAAAGACTGTGAAACATGTATAAAATTGGATCCAAATTTTGGTACGTTTCTTTCACTTATATCTATATTTTGTATTCTATGTTAGTGTATTATTTAATGTTTTTTACATTAGGTAATTTTATTTTTAATTTCTTCCAGCAGAGGTGTTAACTGTCATGATTTAAGCTTGGCGATCCCAATTTTTTTACCGTTTCTGCCATCCCGATTTATAACATATTTCTCTGAGGATTCTGAAATTTTTATATAGCTTGTGTTAATATTTCATTTTCACCCCTAAAGTGTGATTTCTGTTGTCTGTAATTAATTTATGTTTCTGTAGACTATAAAGAGAAACTGGGGCAGTTTCATATCATGTGAATTACAGTAATAAATGCTTAAAAAAGGGATGAACAGGTATTAAAACCAACAGTGCAGTATAAAAACTTTCTGAGAAAGGTGAGGTTTCTTCAGATGTTAGAAGCTAGTTCTGCAAAATATTTCAAGTTCCACTGGACAATAAAATGGTTTTACATGCTGAAGTCTCTCTGCTTGGAATAAATGCATCTTTTCGTGATGTGGTATTTTTAAAATAGATTTCCAAATTTATTTCGTTTAGTTTTGAAAAGTAACGATAATATAACTGTTAAACTTAAAATGAAGCAAAATCTGGCTCAGCAGTCAGCTACTGTATGAAAATTAATGTCTAATTTTTATATTAAAATATGTAGATAATAAAAATACTTTCCTTAAATAAAAAAAATAAAAAAAATCTTTTCTTAAATTTCATCTTAAAATCGTAAAACGTCATCTTAAAATACTTTCACTTGTCGTTAACTAGATTATGCAGTTAACTCCCAATAACTGGGCATTGTCATAAAAAAGTTTATTTTGTTTATTGCAGAACAAAAGTTACTATTTTAAACCGTCAGAATCGAGAAAATTTTCATGGGAAATGCGAAAAGGGGGGTGTAGTGTGTGTGCTAACTGAAGTCGCAGTACATTGTTTTTATTCACAACAGCTCATAGGGGGGGTGTAGTGTGTGTGCTAACTGAAGTCGCAGTACATTGTTTTTATTCACAACAGCTCATAATTTAATTGCACAATTAGCAGTATGTAAATAATGTTGAATCATATGTTAAAAATGCACAATTATTTAATTTTCTGTTTCTTGTTGACTCCTATTAAAAGTTATTCTGTCTCATTATCTGAAGAGTTTTAGTTTAATGAAATGGAAAATAAGTAGGCCTTGCTTTTCGTATGGTACCATCTTTTCTATTATTTTAGCCTTATTTCACATTATCAGCACATATACAAATACAAGTTTGATTTATTTGGTAATGACATAGCATGCTTAGGGCTATCTGCGTGAAGCAAGAAATGCCTTCACAGAGGACTTTCTAAAAGGAACAAGCCGATATCTATGTTACACATGGAGAAAACCTTGAAAATATCCATGCAGCCCATACATTTGCCTGGGATCAAACCCAAACTTTACTGCCAGTATTCAGTGACATCTTGGCTGCCGGTGGGATCTGCAAATGCCAGATATTTGCTTAATATGTTAGAAAAGTACAGTGTTATGGTGACTGCCTCCGAAAGTGACCAGCATTTCTGAATCAGCATATCATCACGAATGATTATTATATTATTCCCATTAGCTGATCACTTCCTGCTCTGATAGAAGCCATCAAATGTGTATTAAGGCTACCACCAAAGTGTTTGAGTAGTAGTTTCTGAAGAGAATAAACCGATATCAGTCAAGTATCAGTTGCTCACAGCAAAGAACATATAAGGCTTGGCTGAAATCATAAATCCAAAAGTACTAAAAAAGTACACACAATCTTTATTTTTTTACGTATATCAAACCATTCTTTTGCAGATAAGATGTTTCCTAATTATATTTGATCACATTAAGTTCCATTTCAAAGTATGTCATCTTAAGCAAGTAAGTGGCAGCAGCATGGATGAAAAGCGCCTTGTCAGACTGAGTATGAAACTTGTGCAAAAAAGGGAAGAGTGTTAAAGTACTTCAGAGAAAAAAGTGTGGGAATCGGAAAAGTTCGTTCCGAGTTTTGGTTTACAATTAGTTTGATTGGACAAGAGGTATCTTTGAATTAGTATAATTTATTTACCAATTTACCATGCTGTTAGCAGATTTTCCATATTACAAATATTTGTGATTAGGGGGATTTTGTAATGCATTATATGACATAACTCAAAAAGAATCATTTGATTTAATTTTGCTTTTAGATATTTTTCATGTGCAGATTTTCTTCCGTTTATTAAAGATTCATGGTTTTGTTTCAGTGCATATATAAAGGACTGAAATGCTGTGCTTTTAAAATTTTTAACTTAATTCCATAACTTCAAATTTTCATCATGCTGTGAATATTGTAAAAACTTTTCTTTTAATTTGTGCATTTATAAAGTGTTTTAAAAAATTTTTAAATAATACTTTTATTTTTTAAACAGTTCGAGGTCATATTAGGAAAGGAATGGCTTTAATGGCTTTGAAAGAGCATGCTAAAGCTTCAGCTGCATTTCAAAAAGCTTTAGAGCTTGACCCTAATAATCAAGTTAGTATTATTTTATATGTAATGAAATTAAATATAATCTTAAAAATTGCCATTAAAGTTTTATTGATAATCTTCATTAAAAAATATATATATATTGTAGGAAGCTCTTGATGGTTATAGGAAATGTATAACTGCAAATAGTAGTAATCCCGAAGAAGTGCGTAAACAAGCTATGTCTGATCCTGAAGTTCAGAAAATATTAGGAGATCCTGCTATGCGCCTAATTTTAGAACAAATGCAGAATGATCCTAGAGCGCTTCAAGAGTAAGTTTTAATTTTCTTTTATTACTATTTTTAAAATAGCTGCTAACATATTTGTCTGCATTTTATATATATAAAGCATGGTCTTCCTTTGGAATCATGATGCCAATTCATAAATATTTAAATTTCCTTTCCTTCTTTTTCAAAATACAAATTAATTCCCAGTGCGACCACCACCCACAGATCAATGGGCCAAGAGTAAATTTTTTAAAATTTGTATATTATTCGTCTCTAGGATCATAATATTCAATTTCTATAGTTTTTTAGTTGAAAAATTATAAAAATAATATCGCGCCCTTCAAAGGGTTAGAAGTTATCTCTGCATATTAAAGTGAGTTATTGCCCTTCATTAATATTTACAGCGGTCACAACATACAGTACAAAAATATAAAAATTAATGTAAAATATTCTTTGCATATATTGAGACTTATTACAAACAACTTCTGGTACTTAATGGCTTATTGCAGTAGTCGGCAAACTTATTAGCCAAAGAGCCAAATATGAACATTACAACAATTTAAAAAAATTGGGAGCCAAATCTGCTTGTTTAGTAAACTTTTATTACACTAAATAAACTAAATTTAATACTTAATAAACTATTATTAATAGAACCAATGGCTTGCATCTCCTTGGAAGTTTGAGTAAGTAGGTTTGTATGTTGTTTTAATTTTAGGCATGATTCCAAGTTCATTCAAAAGACTTCTCAGTTTCTCTTGATAATGTTCATGCTTGAAAAGATTGTTCGCATAGTATGTAGAACCGAAAAGGGAAAGAACAGCAAACGTGAGCTTTTTCAGTGATCATAAGATCAGAATACTATTCCAAGCGTTGAAATGATCATGTCTTCGTTCTCCAGTCATTCAAAGCAGACCACTTGTGTTGTGAACTAAGATCACATTTCTTACCAAGTTTTTTTTTTTTTTTTTAATGAAAATATTATTGCGCCTTCCGTGGATATTTGTACCAGAGCCGCACTTAAGGAGCCAAAGAGCCATATGTGGCTCTGTAGCACGACTGGCTTATTTTAACCTTAATTCAGGTTTGCTTAGATCAACGAGGTCTCTCTCTAGGCAAGCAGAAGTGGTGACAACAATCACTTCTGTTATGAATCATGCTGGTTATAATTTTACTTCTTATTTTAACCTATACTATTTACTAAATCTGTGAACTGAGTAGAACATGACAGAATGAGACATGAGAAAAAAAAATCATCAAAAAGCTAACTGCTAATCAAAAAGTAAACTGTAAATAAAATATCACTAATCTTCTTTCAAATATGTTCAGCTATTACAAGTGTAAAATATTTAACGCTGCTTGATAAATATTTTAAAGGCGATTTTATTCTCAAGTTTGTTTTGTAATTATGTTTAATAATAATGCATCCTACTAAGATCTGTTATATTTTTACGATGGTATTACAAAAGTGAAGTTCAGGCATAGATAATATTTTTAATTGAACTTATTCAGCTCCCATTTGCTGATAGGTCCTTAAAAGTATTTAATTTCCATGTGGAGAAATGCATACGAACCCTGATTAAATGATGTAAAGATGTGTCAAGATGCAAGAAGATCACACTGAAAAATAAACTAACTTTTCCTCACACTATCAGGGAATTTTTGCTTCTACCTGTATATATTTAGTGAAAATTATTTAAGTTCATTAATCATACTTTTTGCTAAACTGTTCAATAATTTTTTTTAAAATTGTAGTTTATCAGAAATAAGACTGTCTTTTATAACCAATTACCTGTTTTATTGAGCAGGTTTATTTAATCCCTGTAATTTATATAATTTTTATAATTGTCAGAAAAAAAATTGAACTGTTAAACTGATTTAGGGAAATGATGCTCCTTCCTCAAGTACATGGATATACAGTCAAAAGTCGTTAATTTGGACACCTATGATCCGGAATGATCTATAATCCGGACCTCAAAGCTACAAACTTTTTTGCGCATGCGTCGCGTTGGCGCTGCGCAGGCATTTACGGCTGCGATGTGCGCGTGCGCAAAATACGTTTACGAATGCGCGTTTAATGTATAACGGACAGTATAAGCTAAGCTAAAGTTATCTAATTCAGTTAATGTTGCAGATTGCGTTGTTCCTTAATCTTCGAATTGGATTCGGCTTATTATTTTTTGCAGACTGTTAGAGCAATTTTATAAAAGTAAGCTTGAACTTTCCATTATGTCAAATAGAATTTCCGATATATATTTACTAATATGTAAAGGATCTACAAAGCGAAAGTATGTTTCGAAGTCCATTAAACAAAAAGTGGAATTGCTGCAAAAAATGGATAAAGGCATATCCTTTTTTTTTCTCTAACCATTCCGAAATCTGTTTATCAATTTCACGCTGCTCTGCGGGGGGGAGGGAATCGCGGCGCGCAATGAATTGGAAGTTGATCTGTCAGCACTATCCTTATCTTCAGGGCAGATGTTTTTATTTATTTGGCTTATAATTCCTTACTAAATGTAGTATTTCATCTCGATGTACTCCGTCTTTGATATGATTTAAATCAAATTCCTCGTCATTATAATTCGCTTCCGATAGTGAAGAAAGTGACAGAGGTTATTGAAAACGAAAAAATTTCGATTGACAAATTAGTCGGTATTCTCGACACAGCAATTATAGGACTTGAACAGCGGAACTTTGTAACTGAACAAGAAATTATGTCTGTTTAATAGAATTAAAGAGAATGTATTATCACATAAAAAAGCAACTTAAACAACTTACATTGAAAGAAATGTTTAATAAAGTAAACAAATAAATATTAAGCTTTTTTTTTTTTTTTTTTTTTTGTAAATTTTGATACCCTTTAGATCATAATTGTTCTTTATTTCATAAATTACGGTTTCATATTTTTAATTTTATAATTTCTGCATGCCATCTTACCAGATTTAAACTGATGATCGATAATCCGGAATCGCCAAAGTTCCGACGAATCCCGATTAACGACTTTTGACTGTAATAGCTTGAAAAAAAATTGTCAGTGGAACTAACACATAATGGCAACATTACTGAACCCTGAATGACTCATGTTGAGTGTTCCTTCCAGTTATATTTTTAAAAATGATAAAAATTATCAACAAAATGTTTGCAGTCACCAGATGATAATCCCTTTTATAAATAAAAGGTACCTCTCTCCAGACAACAATGATAAAATACCAAATATCTCTATCTATCTGCCAGCCTGCCTATGTATATTAAAAAAATTTATTTTTTAATGTAGGAATATCACATGCATTATTATATTGTAAAGTTGAGTGTGATATGATTAAATTAGTAGATTGCCAAATAAGCAATACTAGTAGATTAACCCCTTCGCGCCGGGTAGCGCAAACGCGCGCTTATCGGGGGGCCGGCAGTTGCCTACGCGAGAGGTCTGTCAGGCCGGGAGCCTTTTGCTATTAAGCCTAAATCCATAAATTTGGGAAGTTCAACACATTGTTTAATAATGCTCTATAGAGTATTTAAAGGCTTATGTTTAATACTTTAATTACCTATTCTTGTTTAAATACTATTTTACACATTTTATTTTCTATCACCATTCTATGACTTAAATTATACATCTGAAAACTAAATATATTATTAAAATTCTCTTTTCGTATGAAAATTGAAAACAGGGATTACACACAGTCCTACGTTACATCCTTGCACTTGTAATAACTCATTTGCCGTTTGGAGGATTTTTCCGGGAATGTGAACAAATGAAGCATCATCGTCTCATTTTTTATCAGTCCCTTCTGAACAAAGTTTTGGAAAATGTCTTTCAGTTAATCTTTCAGGAATCAATATCAGAATATCAGAATTTCAGAATCAATATCTGAAATATTTTGCATCATTTCTGCTATTTCATGCTCTGTTAAACATTTTCGACGCTTCAACATTGCAACGGTAAAAACAGAAATAATTCACATCTAACAAGATCTAATTATTTACTAAAAACTGAACTGCAAACCAAAATATCCAACGCTTTACCGAAAATTAAATTTCTCTACTTACAGTAAACAACTACCACGTGCAAATTTAAAGAGACATCATAAATCATGTCATTCGGAAACATTTATTTCCCCTTTTGTTTATATAATCAAAAACACATGTATGTGAGTCATGCTTCTCTCATTTCGAGTAGAAGGTCTAATGTACGTGTATCTGAAATCATATGGACATGCAGTTTCATCTTTTGGCAGAAATTATAGTTTTTAAAATAGTCCAGGACACTGGCACAAATACGTGACAGTCGGGGCTGAACGGGAAAACGCTCTGGTACGCCTGCGTGTTGGCCGGGAAGTGAGTGTGTTCGTTGCTGGCACGTAGACGTGACAGTCGGTGCAAAGGGGTTAACTTTTGCGAACTGCAGTATGTAAACCTTATTTTTCAATAACAATAATTTAAAAATAATTTGATGTTAAATTATAGGGTAGTTATGTGTTAATTTTTCACATTTTCCCTCTAAAAATGTGCCTTTTTCTAATTCTTTGGAAATAACAAAATTCAAGTTCAAATGAGCATGGGTGTAATTATTAATAAGGTTATTTTATGCAGAAAATATTACCGATGTTTCTTTTTCTTTTCTGCTATTTAAGAAACCAGAAATTTTAAAATATTTTCTTTTTCAGACATCTGAAGAATCCTGATATAGCTGCAAAAATACAAAAACTACTTGAATCTGGACTTATAGCCATCCGTTAACAATGTCACTAGTGGCCTAGTCATTCCGACTTTTATTTCCATTGCAGAGACATCAAAGTGTTTCTTTGCTGCTAAGCTGTCATAATTCTTCATTATCATTTCATGTAATGATTATGAAAAGAAGATTGCACTAAATATTTTCTTTAAATAAAAGTTGCAGTATCATTAATTGTATAATATTCAAGCCAAACTGCAAATAAATATTTGTTACTTCAGTACAATTCAATGATTGTGTCAGTTTTTTAATTCTTATACCTTCAAATATTTATTAATTCTGTGGAATCCATATGGGATCAGTTTGAGTGAATCTATGTAGAATAAATAGTGTTAGTACTTTTAACCTAAACTAAGCTTCTTCATGGATTTTGCTGAATTTTCTTGAGTGAAAAATGCAATTGCTTTATGTTTTGGTTAATTTAAACCCCTGTTTGCATTTATTAAGTCCTATATTTAGGGTGTTAGAAAAAGATTGCATGACTAAATAACTCTTGAAATATTTGCTATAAGTTGGTTAGAGTTCTTTACAGTTAGTAAAAGATAGTAAATCCAGTAGAGTAAGTATAAAATATAGTCATGCAATCCTATTTTGAAAAACTATGACTTAATTGAAGTTTCTTTCAATTGCAATTTAATTACATTCACTTGAATAATAACACCGAAAAGTCTTAATATTAAAGCAATATCTTACTTTTACACCAAAAGCAATATCTTATTTTTCCCTTGGATTTTTCTTTCTCTGAAATATTTCACCCCCTTTCCTGATGTTTCTGTTAGTAGATTTTTTTAGAGAAAAATTGGCATTCATATTATCATTAAACAGAAGCTGTGGATAAGGAGTAAAATATCAAAATATGAGTGACACTGAGATTATAATGAAAGTTGAGATTTGAATGCATCTATTTATTTATCAAAAAGTATGTAGAATATAGTCCTTTGTTTTTGCACATGCTGTGAGCATTATCACTGAAATTCAACACCAAATATTTGCTAAATTTTTGAATTAGTTAAACTGTACTTATAATTTTTACATTTATATGCAAAGTTAAGCATTATGATTAATTTTCTGTTAACTGGAGCTGAACACAATGTAATTCAAAATTTGCTAATATTTATTGAAATGCTTTTGCACTGTGAGAAAGATTTAGAAACTGGTATTCTATTTAAGTGATAAAAATGGCATCAATTCGACATCAGTTAAATAAAGGAGATGATAATGATCACCCAAGTTCTAGATCGTGTTCTAGTCTTCCCTGAAAATGTTATCTTGGATAACTATCGCTGATGGTGATCACATAGAAATAGTGGGTAATAATAATAATTCAAACAATGGATTTTTTGTAATGAAGGTTGTTGGTGTTTCTTTAAGAGGAATGATATAGAAATACAATGTATCAGTTTATTATTTCTGAAATACCAGTATGTGCAGGATTATAATTTTATCATTGGGGGGGGGCAATATTCAGAGGGCAACAAAGCAGTAAGACAAAAACTAATATATTATGAAACATACATTATAAACTACTTATTATACTAAACTAAGTTATTGTATTTAATAAACTAGTCAAATTCTGGAAACGTATTCTTAGTGTTATTATATTAGATCATTATTCAAGAGGAGGGCTCTCATGCATTTTATTGTACATACACGTTGTGAAGCCAGAAAGATTTTGAGAAATTCTGATGTTCATACTGATTAATTCTTTTCGGTGGACTTGATATACTATAAGTAGTTTTTTGGTGTTTAGCGACATTCATAAGGCTCTATAAAGAAATTCTTTGCTTTTGTTACTAACTCATGCTCTTCACCTATTTTTACAGCGGGGTCCCTCCTTCCCAAATTCTTTGGGGCTCAACAGAGTTATTGTAGGCAGTATCCAAGTGTTTGTTCAGAGGTAAAATCTGAATGAAAAAAGTGCTTCTCCTTCTGCAACTGGGGTATTAGAAAGTGGCTGATATAGTTTTCTCAAGAAGCCATATATCCTATGTCAGTGATATAGTGCCAGATCTTCATTTATTTAACCCATTAGATGCTGGTGTTGTATTGAATAAATGCCTATATAAATATAACTACCTAAGATATTTTATACCAGCAGATGATTTTGTGTAGGGAATATTATGAAGATTATTTCTGTTAAAAAATATTTGCCTTCAACAATCATTTTGTTTGTAATAATTAATCTCATGCTTTAAGCAAAATTTTCGACCGGGTATTTTTGCTGAAATCGCCGGTCTTTATGAGTGATCTATTTGTAGTCAAGGTCACCATTTATCAGAACATTACATCCATGTTTATATTGTGTTGGAAGAAAGAGAAAACATGGTGCGTTGACACACGTCAGCAGGAACGGGTAGTCAATCTCCTTTTCACTCATTCCTTCATGTTCTGGTTTTAAAATGCCTACAACGTGTCTTACATTAGAAGAAGCCCTTCAAGTTTTTGATGAAAAAGAAACAGATTATGATAATGTTAATAATGACAAATGAAACTATATTTGTTTTCCCCAAGAAATTGCAGAGGCTATGACGAAAGGAATGCAATGTTTGAAATAATGATAATGATTTTACCAAATGAACTGCTGAGGAAAGTTGAAATCACGAAGAAGTAAGTTTCAGTTTCAAAGCAGTTATAGTCTACTAAAAAGTTTAAAAAGCAGAAGACTGATCTTGAAGGGATAAAAGGAATGTTAGTATTTCAGGAAGAACTGAAGGAGTAGAAGATAAATTAAAAAGACCAAACACAAGTAAACTAGCACGATTTCGATTTTTCTTTGTTTAGACATTACTTTCTTCTCGTTGACATACAAATATACGCTCAAAAAAAAAAATTGCAGAATTTATTGCATCTGAGCTATATGAGAGATTTATTGATAGTATGCTACTGATATCTATTTTCCCAAGAAAAAATGTATGGTCTTGGTAAGGACGTTCTGGTCATGTTGTTGAAGAATATCACTTTGCGTACAGGAATATGAAATAGAATTTGCATTTCACATAGTCAATGACAATACTGAATTATGAGGTGAGCCCTATCTAAACTGAAAATATCACCACTTCTATACGGAAATATAAAGTCTCTAGATTTCAAACGCGAGAAATGCTTATTTGTAAAAGAATACAAGTTTTTTAATATTAAATTAAGTACAAGTAAAGTGATGTTATAAATGCTTAATTTAATATTTGTTATTATTTTCATGAGAAAAGAAACATTCCTTGTAGTTTTGGCGGTTAATGGGTTAAAAGCATTAAAAAATTTGATGGTTTTCCTCTTGCTCACCTGAAAGTATTTTTTTAATCTTTGTAAAAAAATCATTTGCAATTAATTTGTTTGTCGGAGGTCATTACATAACAAGGAAAAAACAACTCGTCCTATTCCAGGTAGAATAGAAATAAAGGCAATTCAGAGCTCTGCTATGGATTTTTAAATAAATTTACTTTGAATACAATTATAGTGCTTATTTCATTATTTCCTAACAGATTCAGGTAGCACAGATACATTTTTTAATACTCGCTATTGAATGAATTGCACCTTTGGCAAGTTAGGGAGAAGTAGAAAAACTTGTGGTGACTTGGTTGAGAATTTTGGAAGAAGCATTAGTGTTTAACAAACATGATTGTTGAAACAGCGAATATCTGTGCAAATTTTAGCAGTGTTTATTATAATTACATAACAAATAAGTTATTCAATTGAATGACCTACATTTAGGTACAAGTCTAAGCAACTAATTAATTAGCCCATAGCTAAATATATCTAAACTAAGCTTGCAACAGCCCAAATGGGCCAAAGCCAGCACTACCCGAAATCTGCTTTTTTGACCGTGGGCCCCGGGGTGCATGAGCATATGTTCTGAACAAGTAGTCAGCTTGGTCGCAGAAACACCGGTGTTTAGTGCCCAAGCGAACTTGGTACTCATTGTAGCGACTCACGTAAGGAATGAAAGGCTGAGCCAACTTTGTCCAGCTCGGGGATCGAACCCCGGACCTGTGGCACTGCAGCGTGATGCGCTAGCCACTGCGGCAGCATGCTTTGACTAGATATAGTTTGTTTAAAATCATGATGTTTAGCTATAATACCTGTTAGTAAAGACGAATCCCAAATCACACCACACACTAGGGATAATATACTATTAACAAACCTTTTGAGTGATTTACACTCTGCAATTGAACAAATTTACTAGAGCACACAAATTTCTGGAAAAACAAAAGCCCAAGCAGTTCTTGAGGAAGCTGTACAAATTAGGAAATTTGTACAGTTCCAAAATTTGTAGCAAACAGCTCAAAAGTTTTGTTAATAGTAAATTATCCATAGTCTGTGATGTGATTTGGGATTCTTTACTACTGATAGGTATCATAGCTGAACATGATGATTTTAAACAAACTATATATCTAGCTTACAGGTTAATTAAATAGTTGCTTATAACTTTTAACTAAACCTAGGTCATTCATAATTTATTTGTTATGTAATTCTAATAAACACTGCTAAAATTATTCACAGATATTCTGTGTTTCAACAATTTTGTTCAAGTATAGGTAAATAATGCCACCAGATATAAAACACCCAATTAAAATCGGAGTAAGTAGAATATTAGATGAAATCAAAATTTATCTAATAATCAGAATTTAAATTAAGAGTCAAAGTGAGCACCCTTCATCTTCTTGAAACTCGAATTAAGTGCTGTTAGTGTTAATTAAATACCATTAGGGCTAATTAAATATATTTACCGGTAATAAATGCATCTATAAAATAGTTAAGGATTTTTATTTATTATTGTTACTTCAACATCATTAGTAAAAAGAACCGGTATAAATGAGATTTGATAAAAACTGCAGAAAATTTTGATATGGTAGTAAAATGGATTACTGATAGTGTAGTTTAAATTAGGAAGTATAAATAATAAAAATGAATCTATTTGAATTTAAACATAATGTGTGATAACTTCATTATTGTATCCTCGCTTGTATGAAGTGATCTGTGACATGGATTTTATCAGTAATAATAATGTAATTTTTGATGGAACAAATGTATGATTATTAATGAAATCCAAATTTCTGTAATGGTAGAAACTAAATTCCCTGTATGTCAGAAGAGTTTATGAAAGTAAGCAGTAATGTGGTAGATTCCTGTAATGGTGCAAACTATTTAAATTCCTGTATGTCAGAAGAGTTAAGGAAAGCAAACATTAATACACAAGATTCAAATGATAAGCTAACAAATCCACAAACATAGCA